GCTGAATGAGGGGTAACAAATAGGGAAAGATAGCCCGGAATTCCCAGGAGAATGAGAGCACTGTTGGTGCAAAAAGAGAAAAGTCATAGGATCACTTAGGCTGTGTTTGAAAGGCCTTTGAGAGGTCATCTATTACAACTTCCTGGTCTGTGCAGGGTCAGGTAATTAGAGGGATGGGAATGTAAGATGTTCAGAGCTGTGATCTAGGAAGCTTATTTTTATGCATCCAAATACCTCAAAATTGCGTTTTCTACCCTAGTCAGAGCCTGAGAAAAGGCTGCTGCAGTAACTCAGGTAGGGAGAGAAGAAGGTTTTAGCTTATGAAAAATAGGAAGAAAAGCATATTAAAAAGAAAAATAACTTGATTCTTATCCCCAAGGGTGCCACAGGAGCCTGACAAGTTATGGGTTGTACAGTTACTGAAAACATAAGTAATGGTGAGACCTTAGGAGGAAGATAAAAACAGGTTTAGTCATCTTGACTCTGATGTGACAGCTCAATACTCTCTGAAAGACTTCAAAGAGACAGATTAACCTTTGAGTTTGGAGGACAGGACATGTCTGTGGTACAGAGTACATTTCCAGATTGTATCAGGATGAGATTACTCACAGGGTTTGTATAATTTTGAGGCTGTATGGCCCAAGATTTCAAGAAAAGTTCTGAGGAAGACTGCTGTCAGTTCAAGAGGCCATGGCTGTACTGCTGTTCCTATGGTGTGGCTACAAATACATAGATGCTCTAGCAAGAGTGAGTTCAAATGAGCACAAGAAATAGGAGGTGCTGTAAAGAAAGCACAGGAGAAAACGGCAGGATAGCAAAATAGAGCATGTAATGAATTTAGAGATGAAGGGCAGATGGAAATAGGTAAGCTTGCCAAGTTCTGGGCTTTTTTTCAGTTTGAAGATAAAACAGTTGATACTTTGACTGGGAAACAACTGGTAGAGGATGAGAGAATAAGAACAGCTAACGGAGGGGAAGAGAATGGATAGAAGGGAGGTCAGGAAATTATTTATTGGTATATTTGGAATTCATCTGTCATTTGCAGAGTATGAGTGGAGTAGGATGAGGCACTGTGGAGGGCAGTAAACTTTTCACTAGTTTCACATAAAGCCTTGTATATTTTGGAATTTTAGAAAATCCTAGAAAGAACTAAGTTTCATAATAATACAATAAGATGTTGGCACAATGAAATAACCCATTACAACTAGTATTGTCTTGCCCTTTTTCTCTCATTTCAGTGGTATTTTTAAGGAATTAAAAAATTGCCCCAACAGTATGAATTTTCCTTTCCATACTAATTTATGTGTAGGTTGGAATGATGCTGTCTGTGGAATTATAAAATGGCATATTCATAGTTTCAGATAGGGAAAACCAGAACAGTCTGCACTCAGGACTGAAAAGTGGAATGTGAAAGGCTCCATCCATCCACACTGTGTAATGTATCCTTCTAGGCTGAACTAAACAGGGATCTTCATTTGATATCCAAAGCATGGCATTTCTCTGACTGTGTAATTCTGACCATTAATCCTATTCTCCAGAGTATTCAGATGCTTTCAATACACGTTTGAAAGTATTTTACATTTTCACTAGGTACTATTTTTCAGTATTGTACAAGAAGCTCCCTCTCAAAAGAAACCAAGTACAGAAGTCCAAATGTGGACCACGATTCGAGCACAGGGCGAGTTTTCCAGATACTTTTTCAACAAACTGCTATACTATGATGTCTCCAAGCACAAGCTCAGGATAGGATTTGTTTAGTTGATTTTGTAAAAGGTCTTTAGGTAGGCAAAACTAAACTAGAAAAACACGGCTTTCTATAAGCTCCAGGAGGCTGCTTCCGCCAGAGGGAGCCCCGTTCCCAACGCAAGAGTGAACTGGGCGGCAGTGGCTGCCCTGCCAGCCAGTTGTTTATTACGATTTACAGAAAAGCAAATCTAATTGTTTTTACACAAATCAGAATCCATTGGCATGGAAAGAAAACTGAAACAGAGACAGTGACGATCTTTTTTATTTCTGTATTTTTTTTAATAGAACACTGTATTTGGAAATACAAATTTGTGATACTAAAACCCAATCTCCACTACTTTTAATTTAATGGTGTCCATTTTTCATAGGAACAGCAGAGTGGTGAGAGACAGAGAGCAATCAGAAATTTAAAGAAAACTTTAAACATGCATATATTTTTATTTCAGGACTTCTACAGCAATTTTGCCCCAATAATCCTTGCTTTTCCTTTGCTACAATATCCTAGCATCTTGTGTGTGCCTGCAGTATGTTCACTCTCACAAGAACAACAAAAATAGGACCACACATACCCTGATACAGCTTTGCTGTAGCCAGTTAATTAAGTAGTTTAAGATACCCAGATATGATCATCAGCAGTATGTAACAGAAGTTATACCAGGACTTTTGCTTTTCTATTTCTGTTACTACTGTGACAGACATACCAGCCGCTTGCATTGGAGTAATCTAGTACAACTCCACGTAAATCCCTGCAATTACACATTTAGAAAAGTGGAATGTTTGCAGCAAGAATCAATGTTATCTAGTATGGCTTAAGATGGGCATGTACTGTATGACACAGAGTATCTTCCTAATTCTTTTTTGTGATGGTTCCACCATCTAACAAATAACATCATTTTTTCTTCCTGTTTATAATATTTTCACCTGATTCTGTTTATGGAGTCATTCTGAAAGAGGGAAGCATCTCCTGAGAAACAGGCTTAATCTTTACAGTGTTTCTGAAAGCTTCCTAAATTGCATTTCTGTTTTAAGTCCAAAGGCAATTTGCTTCTTTTACTTAGCTTCATTGATTTCAGCGAGGCTGTATGAATTACATACCAGGAGAGTATGTGGCATTACACCTGCTTATAGTATGGCAGAAAGGCCTTTGATATCATACCAAAAGAAGCTTCTCAAATTTTTTTAAAGAATATACAATATCTTGCATTGGCAACACTGGGCAAAACTTCCACTGGTATCATTGCTAGTTTTAACTGTGTCTGTCTTTCAAGATAGGTGGGCAGCTTTCACTGCAAGTGACCTTCATACAAGGCATCTGTGTTGTCTAACACATTTGGTGTAGGAAAATAATCAGCAGTGAATAAACCAAATTAATGATTTTAAGCCTATACTTTCTCTTCCAACTAGATATGTAACAGTAATGTGCTATGGGAAAATATTGTGGAGAACTTGTGTGACACAATTACATCTGAAATGAAAGAACTTGCACAAGAAGTGGGCTGGAAACAATTCTTCTTCACAAACAGACTTCAGCTACAGTTGCAGCTCCGAAGGAGGAGACAGAAACAAGATGCTCAGAACAAAAAACTAACTGAATAAAGATTCATTTTCATTGAAGCAATTGTTATAAGGTGTGGATTTGCTGTTTATCAAGTCAGACATACTGACTTTTTTTCTTTACTAGGGAAAGCAGATTATTTTAAGGATTGAAAGAAGGAAACCAAATTATGTCTTACTAGAAGCAACATGTAAATAATATCATGTTTAATATGTTGGGCAACCTGAAATTGTATTATAGGCAGCACTGTAACAGTTACTAGCAATAGAAGAGGTTGTGGCTTCTTTGTACTTCTTCATTCCAACTTCTCTATTTTGTATATATGCTATACATGCTCCATGTCTTATATCAAATGCTATGGCATTGTCATTATTACCTTTATAGAAAACCATCTATCATTTCTTACTACAAAAATTGCTGATGGATGCTAAGGTTTTTACTGTCCACCATGGTAAATGTGCAATATTTATAGGCAACTAACATGTAGCTGGTTCCAGAGTTTGACGTGTGTTAAAATGTTTTTAAATTAATTTTCTAAACTTCAGGCAAATAGTCATTTTGTCACCAAGAAGCAACTTCTTTGGTGAATGAGGGTGTGGGCGAAATGATCATCCTCTTCTTGGACAATCCATCAGAATGATGCTTGAGGCACTCTGCTAGAATGGTATATGGGCAAAACTTTTCCTTGATGTTGCTGATGCAGGAACTTTTAAAACTAATTGACTTGCTTTGTTCAAGTTGTATATTTGATAAGAGACAGTTGCTATCTTACAAGACTGTAACTGATAATTAAAGAGTGTTGTAAGATGAAGGCAGTTCTTACTGACATGACTGGCTTGCTCCAACAATCAATTTAAGCAAGTTAGAGGCTAAATATTATTACTCTGAAAGTGTCAGTTCATTAACATAGTCATTTGCCAATGACTAGACATCAGACCTGAGTATTAAAAACAGTGGTTGCAGTATTTGGATATAATAGTGTAATATTTCAAGAATGTATTAGGTTTACAATTTTTTAACATGTCAAGAATTAAACTTGAATTTTATAAATTGATTTAAAAATATTAATTCAAGGTTCTTATTGTTTCTTTATAAAGCAGTATTTTAATTCTTAAAAGATATTTACTAATTTAGATTAAGAATATTTTATCCTACAGCTATATACCAATATTCTTGAAGCATTTGGTGATTGTAGATCTTCAGATAGAAGAAACACTTAAGTTTATTCTTTCCTCTTTGTGACTATTTCCTTTTAGGACAATGACAAATACAAATTTCATGTTGTGCATACAATACGGTATTCATAAAATTTGTTCGGTGTAATAAAGCACTATAAAATGTAATTTTGCTTTAGAGAAATTATTTTAGGAACTACAGTATTTGAGCTGAGCTATTAAACAACAGACCCTCTTTTCTCACTTTCTGTCAATTTACCACCAATTAATTTTTTTCTTAGCTTGTGCTATCATAACAGATTGAGGCAGTTTCAAGTTAGAAAACTAGAATCCATGCTAGCCAATATGGACTGAGTAAATATTAAATCCTAATTTAACTTGGTTTTGTCAGCCCACCTTCCCTTCTCCTTGATCAACCCTGTACCTGTCCCTTCTGTTACGAGAAATAAGAACAAGCATTTTGCAGGAGAATCTTCATTTTTAAGCTTAAAAAGAAAGAACTTAATTAGTAAATGAACAGAAAGTGAAATTTGGGGTAAGTTTATTCCCATCATATGGCTCAGTAAGGACTTCTATAGAAAGATATATTGCAGATCTCACAAGTGAACAACATATTATTCATTACAGTAATATGCAAATAAAGTTGATTTTGACAAAAGGTGAAGGGAAGATCTAAGTATAAAGGGTACATATCTTTCAAAAAGGCAGAGGAAATTGAGGGAAATCTTTACTTCAATACATATATTTCACCAATAAAAGATAGCTCAGTTAAAATAAGTTAGCAGCAGCATTCACATGAAGAAGACATTAAACCTATAACAAAAGAACTGATGTGAAAGTGTAGTTTACAAGAATATTTTCTCTAACAAAAAAAGCTGATTTTAAGAAATTAGTGACTGCATGTTCACACCATGTGTTGTAGTTCATTGCCAACTCAGTTGTTTTAATATGAATTTTAAAGGCCTTACATAACTATCTTACATGAATGAACTGATCTAAACCTTAAAGCAGTTTGAGGTTTTCTTAAGGTTTTCTTTTTTAACTTGGCTCATTTCAGTGATTTATTTTAAAGTATGTCCCTGCCAACAGTTGTAGAAGTGCAAAACTAAGAAGCTGGTGAATTGCAATATAGAACAATACAAGTTGTCGTTCAGAACTTTTTTTTAACCACCCGTGCTGATAGGAAAATTAACATCAGACTCACCTCTCAAAACTGAAAAAAGTATGTCTTGTACCACCATACGAAACATTCTGCATTGATTACCAGGTGCTTAATGTTTAAGAAAATGTATTTGAATATTTTAAATGGTCTTTAGCTCCTTCATGCTCTGCATTATCTAATTTTCTAGTGAATAAACATCTCAAATGTGACCAGTATTAGACAGTTCATGGCATACACTGTGAGCAACAACACAACTGCTCATAATACATGTTTTTGTTATTAATAGTAACAAAATCTAGTGTGCTGTAGTCCAGTTCTTTCTAAAACTATATTTGGCCAGTTTTGCCCAACTCTGTTTCTTTAGTACTGTTTACTTGACAAAAAAGTCTCACGGAAGGGGTCAATGGCAGTATTACAAAGTTCTGTAATACCTCTAATTAGGTTAAGCAGCCAGAAACTTCAAACTGTTTCTGGAAACATTTTCCAATTTGTGAATAACAATGTTTTCTGTATGTTGCCTAGTTTTGCTTTTATGTTTGTTTACTTCAGGTACATTAAGAGTCACAGCATTTATAATGCAGCCTATGTAATGAGGATGGCTACTTTATTATGCAGTTGATACTTTAAAAAAATAAAATAAAAAATCCTTGAAGTAGAGAGTTGTTTCAGAAAAATATAAGAACTTTTCTTCAGTTGTACATCACAGAAATAGTAGTTTTAATACACTGAATTAACTGAATTTTTGTACTAGCATTTCAACAATACTTGACTAGCCAGGTAAGAAATACAATAATTTTCTCATACTCAGTAACTACTCTTTTATCAGACAGAATACATAGCAGGAAGGACTTTTATAAATCATTCATATCCTGATCAAATTTTCTTCTAGGACTAGTGTAAATCAGGAGTAACTGCATTGCAGTCAATGGAGTTTCACCACTGGGTAGTGGTGAAAAGTTAAAAGAGAAGCAAGGGTAAGGGCTCTTAGCATCGTTCCAAATTTAAAAGACTAGCAGGGTGCTTCTAATTGCTGTCTTGTTAGTTCTAAAGTAAAATATCTTAACTCATTTTAAAAGCATATTTCTAATAGTTTAGACTAGTTAGCATTTTGGAGCACATTCACTTTTCACTTAAGTACAGCTCAATGGGGTTGGATCCGTAAGAAAAACAGCTTCATACTGTCATTACAATAGAAATATGAAAACAAAAAAATTACATAAAAAAACTTCTGGAATATTTGTTCTATACTTGTGCTTCTTCTGTAGATTTTTCTCTTGGTTGTTTCTTTTGAATACAAGGCTGTATAAGTAAAAATACTATTCCCACCATGTATAGCAAGCCAGATATGTAAAAAGAAAAATCGTATTTATTTGTGATGTCATAGATCCAACCTGCAAAATAAGGAAAACACATGTTTGCTACAAAGCTTGACAACAAGGTACATTGCATGGGAGAATATGAAAAACACTGCACATTTCTCTCATGACATTTCAGTCAAATCCATGGATGTTTTGTGGAAAAAGAAAGGTGGTGATTATTTCCTCCTCTAGATGCTACAGATGGAAATGTATTAACAAAATCTTGTTTGTTCACCAAAACCAGTGCAAAACCTATCTCCTCATTTAAGTATCATGGAAATCTTAAAATGGGATTCTAGCTATATGCCATCCTGTGAAGCCAAGCAGCCTTCTCTCTAAAACTGCACATTTTTCAAACAAGTTATCACAGGTCTGACTTGAAAATAGACATTTTGGAATCCCAAACCACTTAGATCTTCCACCCCACTACTGTCTTTGTAAAATGGCCAATACTGCAGGTCCCTTGAAATGCTGTGCCTTGTGCAAGCAAACACATTCCCAATAGCTTTCTCAAAGACTCACATACTGATAAAAGACTTTTCAAGAGATAAAATCTCAGTCCTGCAATGACTCTCATTCCAAAGTTAATTCCTTTGCAAAAGTACATTAAAGTTACTTCAGAAAGGTTTGAGAACCCAAAATAGCAAAATTCCCTCCTCACACTGGTTGCATTGTGATGTAACCTCAAGATCAGGAGCTTTTTTTACATCAAGTAATTGCATCGTATTTGCTTCATTACTAATGAGCAAATACAAAGACATGTTCAGCACAGGCTGAGAAGTGCTGAAAGAATATAGAGTAAAACACTGCTGCTTTTTGAAGGGCACTGAGTGAGCTTTTTTCTAAATTGTGTCAGCTCACTCAGTGCTGGGGAGAGAAGGTGAGAGCATTTGCGCTTTTTTGGGTTGCCCGTGCTGCTAATAGTGAATAGCTTCAGTTCAGCCTAGTGCCATCTGTAAAAGATAGCTGTAGTCTGGCTATAGTACTGACAATCAGTACCTAGAGCTTCTGTACTTCCCCACCTCTTTTTATGAGAAAATTTATGATGAGTGTTTGTTTAAGCCTAAATTACTTTAGGATAACGTACATATGCTTCTACCTTCTGCTGTGGATGACAGTAAAGAGAGAGACTATGAACAGCGTGGTCCCCAAAGTAGGTATTTCTGGCTGAAGGAAGGCAATGCTAAGTTAGTTAACACATCCATTGGCAGCTTGGAGTGGTGACACCCAAACATACCTCATAGTTCTTGGGAGTAATACTATGGTACAAACACCTGCCTACCCTGAAAACTACTCATCATTTTTCATCTAGACAGAGACAGGAGTATGTATAGTGCATATATTACACACACACAAAAAAAAACAAAACAGGTTAAACCTTTCTCATTTTAAAAAAATGTATTATGATATTTTAAGGAAACACCATCGAAAGGATAGATTGTAAGAGATTTGGGGTTATTTGCAAGGACTGTAATTTGTAGTGTGTGAATGCGATCTGTAAATTTGTACAATGTAAAGCTGGATGTTATGGTTCATTCCAGAGCAGCTGTAATTTTGTTAACTACATGTACTCATAACATAAGAAAGCTTAATAATATAACAAGTCACATGGTTATTATACAAACATCCATTGCTTAGAAATTTGAACTTTTTACCTGCAAAGGGCGGTCCAAACAATGCAGATATTCCGTTGGCACAAATGATGATGCCATAGGCATTTGCAAGGTGTTTAGTTCCAACTAAATCTTCAGTCACAACAGGCATTAGAGAAAAATAGCCACTAGAAAATCCTATTAGAGCACAAACCACAGCCAGGCTAACATATGTTTGCATTAGTGGCAAAATAAGAATGCAGGTGACCAGGGTAAAGTTAGCCATGAGGAAGACGTTCCATGTGCTGATGCATGGGAGATCAGAGATGATTCCAAGGATCACTTTACCAAAAATATGAACAATGGCTATAATGGATGTCAAAGGAAATACATTGTTCTGACGAGATAAGTTATACTGCTTGACTATTTCTGGAAGATGAATAAAAGGAATGACAAAACTACTATAGGCAAACAAAGCCCAAATTATGAAGGCCACAAATACTCTATTAGTAAACAGTGATGCAGCACCAAAGTAGCTGGAGTACCATATTGCAAAGCCCTTCCTCACTGTAACCATCAGCTGGCTCACTGTCTTAAGAATGCGCAGTACATACATATTCCTTCCACTTCTAAATTTACCTCCAATTTCTATGTGCTGAACACTGTCCAGCACTTCTTCATTTGTTGCCTCTTCTTTTTTTTCTGGTTCTTCACTGAGGACTCCATTAGATTTTATAGTCTCCACAGAACGGGACACAGCTTTTGCCTGATTATCTTCACTACTACTTCTCACAATGTACTTTTCATTAACAATGTCTTGGGGAGAGAGTGGTCTCATAAGTGCCCCACAGACACAAAGGTTCAGGGAGATGGCGCCCTGGATGAACATGGCATTCCTCCACCCAAATTCGATGCAGAGGTACTTTAGTAAGGCAGTCATCAGGAAAGCTCCAAACCCTGTTCCCGTGGTACTGAGTCCTTGTGCAAGTGCTCTTCTCTTCTGAAAATACTGCCCTACCATGACCACTGCAGGCAGATAAACCATGCCACTTCCAACGCCTATGAAAAGAAAAAACTGAAATCAATCTGAACTTTTTGCCGACAAGATAAAAAGCAGTGAAAAACAAATCAGTTTTGTTCCTAACTTTTGTGCAAGCATAGCAGTAAAACCGAGAATATTCAATTCCCATATTATCTTTCATTTCTGTCTTGTAGCATTTTCCAAAATTTGCATACTTATTCCAGTGAGAATACAATATTGATATTTAACTGCTGGGAAAACTGACATATGGAAGATAAAACCTTTACCTCAATTCAGCATGACACCACTGGAAAGTCCCAAACATCCTGCAAAAGTGACTGTTAATATGGGGACAAACATAAACAAACCCTATTTTGATATATCTGCATTTGTAATACTTGTATCTGATTGTATCAGTGACCACAAATTGCTGACTGGGCACATCTTGTTGCTTTTGCCCGAGTTCACCGGCAATGAAGATCCAGACTGAGTTTCTGTCCTTGCTTTGTGACTGTGGAGCCACAGTGACTGTGAGATACATTTCAGAAGTCAGTGCGGGGGGGTTAGCCTGGTGATGAGACCTTGGGTGGCTTCCAGGTTTCTCTTTGGATACTTCAGGAAAGTCTAGGGAGGGCCACACAGTAGCTGCACAGGCATATACTTAAAAGGCAGATCTCTAATTTTGTAGAAAATCCCTCAGTTATAGTTAAAACCCAGGGTATTAAAGGTTATTAAATACTTCAAGCAGAAAGTGTTGAGAGTTGGGCAAACCCATCATTAAAGGTAACAGCTGCCCAGTTTTTATCACAGCAAATTCCTGACAGAGGGGATTTGGACTGGAAGAGGTGTATGCAGAAGATGCTTCCAAATTCACTGTGATCATCATTTAGAAGAGTGTTTTGGGCTTCTGAGTTTTCCTAAATAGCTGATAACATAGCTGCATGCAGCTACAGCACGATGTAGCTACACCTAGATTGGAGAAAGAACAGTTATTCCAGCAAAGCCTGAAAAAAGGCACCTCAGCATCACAGCAGTGTAAAGTGGTCAGAACTGACCTGTTTTGCCTGCTAGAAGTATTTATTTCTTTGCTACGCAAATACATGATCAGGTTTCTATTTTGCACAAACCCAGACACAAACTCTAAGGAAATCTCTCTGCCCCCGAGAAGACTGCCTGCCTCATCAGACCAGCCTGCCATTGACTGCTGTAAAACAGCCCAGGCCTGTGCTTTCATTAGTGCTTACTGCGCTTCCCTGTGCATCCCAAGAAATAAGGCATTTTTAAAATAGTTTTATCTTATCTTTTCATTCTATGGGCTACATAGCAAAACATATTCTACGTGCAAAGGCATGCCACCTTCACAGGTAAATACAGGGCCACAGGCCTCTCCTCCACTCCTTTTCCCCACAGATTTGTCACTCTGTACCATGATGGCAGCAGCAGGGCCAGCTCTGCTCTCCCCACCACCGCACCAGGCCTCAGGGGGCATTTTGCCCCCCAGGCCACAGGGGCTCCCTGCTGCCAGCAGCTCCAGGCACCCACCTCAGGGCTCCTCAGGATGGGTGAGCGGGGAGAAGGCTTCTCTGCCCTCGCCACTGCCACTGTGGGGAGCAGAGCCCATGGAGCTGGGGTGAAGCTGTCAACCAGGGGACAAGGCTGGGGAAGGGGAACCACGCTGAGGTGAGGGGCACTTTGGGAATGGGAGCTGAGGCAGCAGGGTGACTGCAGCCAGGGGGACAATTTTGGGGTCATACGGACATACTGTGTGAGGACACCTGGCATGGCGGGTCACCAACCGGGAGAACAGGAGCCATGAGTAAGCCTGCAAGCACTGCATGGAGGCCCAGAAGTGATGGCAGCAGGAAGCACGGACACCGTAAGTGAACAGTGGTCTTAATCTAGTGGCCACGAGAACATGAAAGGAACTTCCTTGAGATGGTGGTGAGTGAGGTGACCGGGAGCAAGGGGATGGGAGTGGACGGGGACTGAGGCAATGGGCGAGTGAGGAGATCATGAGTGCGGGGACAGTGAGTGAGGAGATGGTGAGCGAGGGAATAGTGAGGGGACAGTGAGTGAGGGGGTGATAAGTGAAGGTGGTGGTGAGTGAGGAGATGGCAAATGGAGGTCTCGTGGAGCTGGCAGAAATATCTCAGGCATCTCTACACTGGTTTTCTGGCCAGAATTATGCCTGCAACAGCATCTCACTTCTCCACCTCATGTAAAAAATCTGCCTCAGATTTTTTCTGAAAATAGGGGGTTTTGATTCTTTAAATTTGCTGTATAATCTCAGCCTTTTTGTCTGATATTTTGTGTATGCTCATTCTGAAAAGCAGCAAGGGCTGAGAGAAAGAGTGTGTAGATTCCATCTGCTTGATTATACTCGATATATATGTGGAAACAGTAATTCCAATGAGGGCAGAACCCTGCCTGTAATTACTGTTCTTTTTTCAGGAATTTACAGCGTTATTGAAATCTATGGCATGGTGGTATAAAGAGTCATCACAATGATCCTTGCTAGTTACAATTTTTTTCCATCCAGAGAGCTAGATAAAAAATTATGTGCAGAAATTCTGCAGATTTCTATGAAATTCTGCAAAATGGTAGTTTGAGGGAATGGAGGGTACTGAAGCTATTAGTATTGCAAACAATTTTTTTCATAACACTTCTGTCAGTCACATATAACACAGATACTATGCTTCATTTGCGAACATAACTGGCCATCTTAGCTGTGGAGTGAATAATATTTCAAAGCCCCTTGAATTGCTCAGTGTTCCTCAGCTAATAATTAAAGGCCACATTTTGTATTTCTTGCTTGGATCACTTTACCATTTTTGTTTCATATCTATTAACAGTATCTCCTTCCAGAAATTAATAGTGAATAAAATGGAGTAGTGCTTTAAATAGGTAACACCGGGTTCTCCTATATAACTTTCTTCAAATAACTAAATTTTTTCACAAGCCACATTTTGCTAGAAACTGAGCATTCAGGCACTAAGGATCTGTTGGTTTTCAAGAAAGATTCCTAAACATGCATGCCTTTTCATATTTTGATTGGGCTCTTACACATATCAAAAGGTTTTTAAAGACCTAATTCCAATAAAAATGCCAAAATATTACTTCTTTCAGTGATTTTGACTGTAAAAAAAATGTAGCAAGATTAGTTGCTATTTATTAGTGGTTGTTGATGTAATCTGAATATCTTTTATTAGAAACTACATATGAAATACCACCACATGCATTGTCCTAACTGAGGCTGGGATAGAGTTAATTTTCTTCATTGTAGTTCATAGGGTGCTATGTTTTGGATTTGTGACCCAAACACTGTTGATAACACAGGAATGTTTTAGCTGGACAGCATCAAGGCCTTTTCTGTTTCTCACATGGCCCTGCCAGTGAGTGGGCTGGGAGAGGACACAGTGGGACCGCTGATTCCAACTGAAGGAACATCCCATACAATATGATGTCTTGCTCAGCAATAAAACTCGAGGAAAGAAGGAGGAAGGGAGGACATTTGGAGTTGTGGCATTTGTCTTCCAAAGTAATGGTCAGACATTGAGTCAGTGAGTGATCAGCTATGTGAAGCTTAGCTGCCTACCAGCAGTAACCCAAAATACCCTTTAAAATGGGTTTTGAAGCAGCACATAGTTATCATAATCTCATATTTTATTAATGTGGAGCAACTGCTGTAGAAAATACTCATTGTTTCTTCCTGTGACAAAGAGGAGTTAGCTAGATATATAATTCAACAGTGTTTTAACATCTTTAAATTCTACTTGTTTAGAGTTTGAGTTACATTGATTCACTTGTGAGAAACTAATAAAAATACCATCTCCTCATGGCAGATTTACATGACAATAAAAGTCCCTGGGCCCAATCCACTGAGTAAATAAGTTTTTTGAAAAGGTAACAGGCTGTAAAGGCATAAAAGAAAAGCTGGAATAACTTTACAGTCTAACTTCCCTCTTTACTCACCTAGATAACCTTTGAAGGAATCAAAACTAATTGAAAGAACTTTCAAACATTAGTACAGCTCTTACCGGCTGTTACTCCAAACGTGAGGAAGAGATAGTGCACATTTGAGGCATAGGCACTCAGTATCCAACCTAGGGCATTCAATATCCCTCCAATTATAGCTGTCTTGCGGCACCCACACATACTGATAAATAAACCAATGAAAGGACCTGTTAAAAAACATGAGAAAATGTTATTTACTTAATTCTCTGCACTCTTTAATAATTAATTACATGGAGATTCTTAATGTTTTAAACAAAATGTTAAACATCAGGCCACTTGTGCAATTCAGTTTATTTCTCTTATTACTATTTAAAATAATGGAAAAATTCAACCAACTGACCAAATACTTAGCAAATACGCACAGGACCCAAAATCAAATCTGCCCCAAGAAGAAGGGACAGTTTAAACAGAGGAAGAAACTCAAACTATTCTTTCCAATACTAATGCTGTGTGAGTGCAGGACTTTTTCACAAGTAATTAGAAAGTAAACATTTTATTTTCAGTTGAATATTTTAGGCAGACCTAAACGCAACTTCTTCAACCTTAATTTAGGGAGACAGAGGTGTGTATATACATATGTGTGTATAGATATATATATATATGCATGTATATACACAAACATACCCCTACAGATATTATTTTGGGTTGATCTAACCACAACTTAAAAAATAAATTTTAGTTCAGCTGCCAAACAGAAACATAAAATGTCCAAATTCAACATCTTCTCCTCCCATATAGAGTATGGGGAGGAGCAGAAGCTTCACAGATCATCTCTTTTCTTAATTCTAGTGAGACCTTGAAGTCATTGGCATCCTTTCCTGCTCATGCTGTCTCCTGGAGTAACTGTCTTCTCTATCATCTTCCCTGTTGTTCCTTTTCTCCCTCTAACTTGTAAAATTGGTCCTGGTGACTTTAAAAAAAACAAGTCAGGAGAACCTGGGCAGCTCTGCTAATAAAATGGAAAACTGTAAGAAAATACTTCAGGCAAACATACTCTAAAAATCTATGTAGTTTCGAAATAAATTATGCTGGAACATACCCACGATAAGTGTAATGCCCATGCTGAGGGAGCTAACCCACGCTGTTAAACCACGACTTTGATTAAACTCCTCAAGCCATTCCATGTTGAGTATTCCAAGCGCCATTTGGGACCCCATGATAAGTATGTGCACAAGGAAAGAAGCGAGTACAATCACCCAAGCCCATCCTCCATCGATGTTTGGATTAGGCTTAATTGTCTTACTTCCAACCTTTGAGTCATCTCCAAAATCATATCCAATATCCTCTCGACTAGCATACATTTTCTCCATGGTATTCTGAAACAAATGCAGTAAATACCTTCAAAATACATACAAAATGATCAGATTTTGTAGTTTGGTTATAGTGAATAGCATAAATCACTACTGTATTTCACCATTGTGTTTTAGTGCAGTTGTAAAGTGAATATGGGGTTTTCATCGTTCAAATGTAAAATGCTTAGAAAATTTTCTGATTAATGTATTTGTGCACCTTATTATCATGGCTGTCTATGCAGGAGTACTTACAGGCTGACAGTAGGCTGCATTATTTCCATTACTATATACTTTACTCACATGTCAGTGGCTGAGAGCACTCACTCTTCATGGGTTGACTGTGGTCACAAAAATAGACAGGTCTCTTTCTGTATATTCCTCTTCTGTATCACCTTCTGCTGTCCCAGTAAGGCTATGTTCCTTTGTGTTCAAGTTGATAAAGCTTGGAATAAAAAAAGGAAATCCTGAAGAAGCAGGTAGATGAAGTTCCCATATCTTTTCAGAGGAAACCAATTTTGAGCTTTATTTCTTCCTTAGTAGTGGAAGAATAAGAGTGAAGACAGAGATACATAAAGATTTAAGGTTCTTGATTTTCAAAATGTTTTGCTTACATAGATTACAACAAGGGTGTTGTTACTACCTCTCTGGCAAGCTTTTTGTTAGAGTCAACTTGACAGTTTCCTATTATGCTTTCAGTTTCCATAGTATTAATCCATATAATCCTACTAAAACCAAAGAATTCTTCCAAATTAATGTCAATACCTATCATAATCAAACTGAGTGGCAGTTACATGCCTAGGTGTACATAGGATCAGGCCATAATAGATTAATTTGATTACTTTGATTTCTTCTATTCTTACTCTAAGTAAAGTTTGCAACACAATGTGAAAATAATTTCAAAACCACTTTTAATTGATTAACAGGCAAGGTGCAGAATTCATTCTTCTCTCCATCTGATTTCTGCTGTAACATATTGAAATGTTACCCAACTGTGAAGCCCCACATAGGTTTCCATGGAGACTAGAAATGTAATGATACAAATTACCAGAGATGGCAATTTTTTGTCTCTTCTTCTCTAGAGAAATAAAAAGAGACATCAGCTTCACAACAGTCAAAAGAGAAAAGAAAGTTATCAAAAATTTTTTTAAAAAAGCTCCTTATGTATTCTGTGAGCCCTGAGAAGATGTGCCTCAGGGCTAGCTCCTCACTACTGGAAACTGGCAGTGAATGGAGTAACTCAGATTTTACACTAACTGAAATTTTGAGGTGTTGTCTTTAAATACATTAGTATATTTTGCTCTCAAGTTATTACCTTTCCAAACTATTTAACTTTTTACTTATTGTTAGATAAGCATACAGAGGCAGCCTTGAAGTATTTCATTTTAATATGCAGACGGAGTCAGAGCTGATTGGTCAAAGCTACCATTTCTTTTATGGACAACAGTGAAAACCTGCCAATATATGTAACCTCTCCAGACTGGCTGCTGGGCACATTACCTTTGTAGTTAAGTGCCACATATCCCTTACTTGCAGTACAGGTAATTATATGTACCTAAGGGCAGTGAACATGTAGGTTCCTCCAAGAGCACAGTGATTTGCCTCACACAGTGAAGTGGAGCTAAAATACATTGTATTCCTGGTATTGAACTTTTCACAGATGGATATTCTTTACGGACTACCTTGTCACTAGCCCTAACTTGGCTGTGGAAGGTATTGGTGACACAGTGAGGTAGAACAAGAACTGTGCACATTTAATACTCACCACCAGAGCTGATAAGCTGGGACCAGTGGCTGAGTCCACATCTGGGTACCAGTAGGAACACATACTGACAGGACTTACTGGATTTCCAAATGAAGAGGCAGAGAGATGGGGGATTATGCATAGAGGTCTTTCTAGAGGTCCTGCAGAGTGTTTGAGGCAGGAAGGGTAGCAGAGGGGAGTAAATCAGAGCCATGTGGTGATGCAGACTTGTTTTTTGAACATGAGAGGACAGCCTAGGACAGCCTTAGTTAAAATTATACTTCATCCTTCCTCTACAGAATGCAGGTCTTAAAGATGACATCTCAACTCTCTCCTATTAATGTGCTTGGAGCTAGATCCCCCACTGATGTAGTTTATACGACTACTTATGGAGGATTCAGCCCACTCACAAGAGAAATACTAACTGCATAAAGGTAATAAAGATAGTGAATAATCATGCTAATGGGAAATAATGAGAAGTAGCAGAATGAAGGAAAATTGCAAGCTGTTAGACATGGTCTGTATAAGATTAATGAAAATGTATGATGGATAATACAGTACATCTTAGATAACAGCATACAAAGTTATGTAACTGAAGATTCAGAGTCAGCATTAAATGTGGAGCCTCACCTCTCTCTTTCATGCTTTTGCCTGGTTTTGTGTGCACCCAACCACTGACACGGGATATAAAAATTTTCTTCTTTGGACAGGAAATGGATATGTCTTTTATATATTTTAAATTATTTAAAGCAAAAATAATGTACACTGGGATGGAAAGATATGACACTCATCTTTGCAATCTCACTGACAGAACGGGCTTAGATTGAGTAGATGCAAGTTAATATCATGCTTGCATCAACTCCCACAAATCTTCAGAAAATGCATAAATTTCCTTTTGAACTGGATCCTTGCTTATTATTACTTTTATGTTATTAACTTTTCACTAATGTTACAAGTTCAGAGTGAATACACTCAAACGCCAGGAAGGTCATCTCCAATAACGGCACATGCTCTCAGGCTCTGGATACAGCAAGGACTGGCTGGCTGGGTCCTCTCCCCATCACTCGTGGCCTACCACACCCAGGAGAAATGCACTTACCTGCCTTCAGCCTCCTTCCCACACCAGGGACCTGCCAAGAACACAGTACTATAGAAGGCAGAAAAGCCCAAGGGGCTCTTTGCAATTGTGAAATCCTAGAGAAACCGCAATGAAAATGACGGCAGCTGATTTGTGAGGCCAGCCATATTTCCCCAGTGAGCAAGGTAGTGAAGACCCACTCACAGTAACAGTGTTTGGATACATCCCCTCACAAAGGATTGTATTTAAAGGCAGGAGAACGGCTTCATGTCTGGTCAGATGGAGAAGGACTAGGTTTTTTTCAGAGAAGCTTTTTGTACTGTATGCAGACACAGTATGCAGAGCTCTTAGAAAACTGGCCCAAACGTTAGTGCCCACAAAGATGCTGAGCTTGTTTGAAAATCTGACTCATGAGCTATTTTAGGGACCAATGCAGGTGCTGTAATAAGACCAACGTTAGCAGCAAAACACCCAGGTTCCCTGTACCACCAGTGGAGCTACGGCTCTCTAGCTTGTAGTTGCTCTGGATCATTGAAAAACATCTGATCTTGATATTAGAAGTCCATATGATTAATAATTTACATATACTTGGGTAGTCTCTTCCAGTACCCGATTGCCTCAGTGTTGAAAAATACAGAATCGAATCGTAAAGACACTTCCAATGGATAACCAATAAATGTGCTGCTTCACAATATTCCCAGTAGACATGCCACACATAATTATTTGTCCTTTGAAGACATACAGAAAAAAACATTGTTGAAAACATAGTTTATTTTGGGTCTCCTAAATTTTGGCAGTCAAACTCAAGCTTGCTAATATGCTGAGCACTCCAGTTGTCAGAGACCTCCCTGGCGATGCGGGCACTAGCCACTGCAGACCAGAGCCACGGTGCGTGCCCAGCAAGGAAGAGAAAATCAGGGAAACGAAGCACTTCGAACTCCAAGCTAATTTCCAGGGTCACAAGTTTGCATGAAGCCGGCGGCAGTTCAACTGCCCGGGGCAGGTTGCTGCCCTCCCGCCCCGGAGGGCTGTTTCCCAGGCCCTACTCAGAGCCCTCCGGGACACCCCTCGCCGCGGCTCGGCCCCAGCGTGACCCACGAGCAGTCCCGCGTCCCCGAGGACAGCGGCAGTAGGCTCACAGGGTCAACGTTTTTCTCCCCTTGGTGCCAAGGTAACGGGCAGCTTGCATCAGGCGCTGTACCTGTTTTATAAACGGTTACAGACTGCTGCAGGAGCAGCCCGAGGAGGGGAGACTTTCTTCCCCCCCCAAACTCGGGAGCTTTACACGTTACGCCTCCCCCAGCATTCAGGTTAAACCCATCTATGCAAAGCACCGCTCAGCCGGGGAGGGCTGCCGCCCCCCGAGCCCGGGCCGCCGCCGGGGCAGCGTCGGTCACGGAGCCCGCGGCCCAGCGGCGGGGGCGCGGGCTCGGGCGCAGCCGCCTCCCCGGCCCGCGGGGGCTGCGGCGGCGGCGGGGCCGGGCGGTGGCGGGGCGGCGTTTGGGGGGACGGCGCGGCTGCAGGCGCCGCCCGCCCGCCGGAGCACAAAGGATGACCGGTAGTTACCCCGCGGCGGCGGCGCTCCCCGCCCGCCGCGGCACCGAGGGGCCGCCGCCGCCGCCCGCCGGCAGCCCCGCGGCCGCGCTGCACCGCGCCGGGCCCGCCCGCCTCTGCCGCAGGCGGCGCGGCGACCGCTCGGTCCCTGCCGCAGCCGCGCCGCTGCCGGTGCCGGCTCCGGGCGGCGGCTCCCGGCTCCTCCCGAGGTACTCACCGCGCCGGGCCCCGCCAGCGCCGCCGCCCCAGCCCGCCCCGCCGCCGAGCCTCCGCTGTCAGCCAGAGCCGCGGCGCCGCTCGGCGCCCCGAGAGCCGCTGCGGGGTCCACCTGCGCCCGGCTCCGCGGCGTCGCCCGCGCCGGCTCAGCCTCGCCCCTGCTCGCCGCCCCGGGGCTTATTTTCGGCAGAAGCCTGGCAGCGGTCTCGGGCCTCTTGACCCCCAGGCAGCTCGTCTTCTGCAGCGCCTTGTCTCCATTCCCTGCAATTTCAAATCTCCACGCTCTTTCATTCCTGCGATACCGGCTAATTCTGGTTTGGCGGAGGAGATTTGCAATCCTCTCACACGCACACTCTTGTGGCTGAAAGAAGTTTATTGCTGCACAGGTTATCGCCGGAAATATACATCTGAGAGAGTTAGAGGATACAATCCAATAAAAGCAGCCAGTATCAAGATTTTAATGGCCGTTGGATTATGTTTACTTCAGAGAGGCTGATTGCATTTATGTAGCCTAACCACCCTAAGAATGAAACTTGAAGGCTTCACTGTACAGTACCTTATTTGTGCAATAAGTGAGCTTCAGAAATAGTCCTCTCTTAGGAGAACGAAAGAAAGAATTGCAGAAATATACCCTTACTTTTTCAAAGCAGTATCCGGACCTCAGTTGTATCTTTCTGAATAATCTGACATTACTGGGGTATACATTCTGCAATACATTGCTTTGACGATTTGCAGTTAATTTACCCAGGCTAAAGTGATGGTATGCGACTGTGTAAAATTTCCATCATCAGAGAATCTTGAGTGTCCTACAGGAGTGCACTGAGTAGCATAAATAAAGGCTGTTCAAGAAGATGTAAGAAGCAGTTTGAGAGAAGAGGAAATGAGGAGAGACCTACAGGAATGTTTTAATGGTGTTGCACATACTGTCTGTGCATAACATGGTGGTTCAGAATCTTAAAAGATAATTGCTTTGGGGAGTTTTAAAAATACATGTTTGGGGCTTTTTATATATTTTTACTACATTTGTATTTGACCTTAGTCTTTGGCCTGTGTGCTGTTTACACATGCAAATCTCATCTATTTTTTCATAAAAGTTTAATATTCTGTATATATCTAGTCCATCAAATATATTGATACAAAACAATTTAATCTGGTTTTCGTTCAAGTGTGTGCCAGACTGTAGGCAATTGCTATGGCTTCAGTCTTTCGTAAATCTTATACTACTTTGCACTGTAGTCTTAAAATGATAATGCCTTTCCAGAATAAAAAACTAGTTAGTGTCAGAGACTTGCGACTGGGTTAATTCTCCTTCATAAACAAAACTAGATTTCCCATTTTAAAAAGATTATGGTCTTGCATTGCAAATGTGTGTCATTCTGAAGTATACATGCTCACCGATTACTTTGTGTTTTACAACACTGTGCCCAACAGTGTATGGGCCTTCATATTCCAGATTTTAACTTTGGCATTAGCTTTTTGGCTGAAGTCTGGTTTCTTAAAAGGTTTAATGCTACTGACTTGACACTTGAAATTTGCTGCTTATTGCATAGTATTATTACCCGAGTTTGAAACACATACATTTTGATTTGTGTGTCACGTAACATGCTTTATTAAACCTAGCCACAGAAACAGGTTTACTGGGATTATGGGATGACTAGTCACAAAAATATGTTTGACTGGATGTTACCCCATATTCCCTCTAGTACTCGAGATGCCACCTGCGCACTTATATCCTTGTGCTGAGACTCTGTTTTCACAGTTTGATCTGATGCAGAATTCATTTAGCTGTGTCATACTGCTTCAGCAGTTCTGGTTCGTATGTCATTGTGGTTCTGGACTAAAATCTTGGATTTATGTTGTCCCTTGGGAAGATGAGTATGGATGGATCCACTTGAATTTTAACCATTACATTGTGCAAGTCTATCAGCGAGGGTACGAATGATGTTCAGCAAGGGAAAAAGTCCATTTTGTAAGAATCAGAAGGATAATTCTATGGCACCAGAGAAAGTTTGCAGTTTTTAGCAAAGATGCATAAAGTGCCTAATCCAGTAAAATAAGATGTAAACAAAGTCTAACAGACCCTGGTGCAAATCATAACTGTATAAAGTAGTTGGATGGCAAACAGAGCAACCTGACTGAAAAGGAAGGACGTTTTACTAGTCCCTTAAACATGATGGTAATTATATGTAATAATATAACTTAAAGGGATGGAGGAAGGAAGGCAGGAGTAGGAGGAATTGATAAGTTAATTTTCTTTACTATCTGGGGGCCAATATGGTGCCTTAGACTTTTACAGTCATAGAAGTGGTGGTTGGAAGGGATCTCTGGCGTCCATGCAGTCCAGCCTTTCACTGGAAGCAGGACTGTGACCCGTGGTACTTCGGGTCAGCCATGGCTTTGCCTAACCTGCGCTTGAAAGCCTTCAGGGATAGAGACCTGATGGCCTTTCTGGGCAGTATGTTCCTGTGCAGCACCATCCCTGCACAATCACATGCACCCAGTCACAACTCCAGTGACTCAGTCTGTGGCCTTTGCTCCTTGTTTTACCATTTGCTACTACCAAGAAGAGTTCAGCTTAATGGTCTTTGCCACTCCCCTTCAGCTAGTTTTAGACTGTTATCAGATCTCCTCTTATTTTCTTTGCCAGGCTAACTAAGCCCAACTTCTTCAATATCTCTTCACAAGTCATATGCTGTAGGCCACTTACCATCTCATCAGCCCTCTGCATGCCACTCTCCTGTTCCCTAACATCCTTCTTGAACTGGGGAACCCAAAATAGGACACATTACCCCAGGTGTCAACTCGTTAGAATTGAATAAGGAGGGATAATAATTTCTGTTCATCTGCTGTTCATTCTCTCTTCCTAATGTCGCTCAGTCTGTGGATCACTTTATTCACAATGAAAACACTGTTGGCTCATACTCAATTTAGTGTCCACTGTGACAGCCACATGCTTTTCAGCTGGGCTGCTGCTCAGGCAGCCTGCCCTGGTGCTTGGCACTGTTCAACCCCATGTGCACAACTCTGCACTCCTTGTTAAACTTCATGAGGTTTGTGTTGACCCAATTTTTAAGTTTCTCAGAGTCTTCTCAACTGCAGCTTCACTGTTTGGTTTGAGAACCACTCCTTCTAAGTTAGTATTGTCTGATAATCTGCTGCAGGTGCATCCTGTGTCGTCATCCAAGTTACAATTAAAGTAATGGACAATACTGGCCCCAGTATTGACCCCAGAGAGTTCTGCTTGGACTGGCCACCAACTAAATATCAACTCATTGATTACTACCCTTCAAGTCCATCAATTAATCCAGTTTCAACCTATGTAATGGTTTATTCATCCAGACCACACTTCTCAGATTTTTCTTCACCTTGGGCTTTAACCACTTGCTTAATCCCCATTTCTCAAAATGGCAGCTGTTCTGGAGAGTTTACAGACTGCTCAGCCCTCTGAAAATGTGTATTGATGAAAATATAAAGTGCTGGCTTAGCTTCCCAGCACTTTTCCTCTACTATTGCTGCACTGCTGATTATTCTCCTCCCTAAAGCTCTCATTAAGTCGCCACCCTACTTCCCATGAAATGGTAGCACTGCAGTGATTGATAAGGAAATAAATATTTGAAATAGCAGCTTGGTTGCTGCAGCATCAAGATACAGAAAAAGCATTTTGCTTCCAGTTTTGTTCGATCCCTGAACTTCTAACCAGTGCAAAGTATCACCAAATAATGTGGTCAATTCTTAATACACAGTCACTGTTGAAAAGAAAGACAATTTATGGTATTTAAAGATTTCACCTCCTCTTTCTTTCAGTAACCTCTTTAGATTACTGAAGAATTCTGTATATTTGGAAGGTCATGTCACAGTGGTCATGCATTAAAAGGAAAAAAAGGAAAACAAGTCAAACTTATTATTTTAATTTTGCATAGAGATTGCACAGCAGTACAACTTGCTTATGACACCCTAAAAGCTTGTGGTTCCTCTTAATTTTGGCAACTCCATACTGCCAAACAGAAGTAATGCTTATTTTCTTGGTTTTCCCTCTGCCTTTCTGAAGAGAATTCTTGCTATCCTTGGTGGATTTACCAGAAAACAACTTCCTCAAAGAATACGCCAAGCAAGTATAAACATTTTCAGCAATTTCTCCACTTCCTTCCATGACAGTTGCAGAGTCTTGCCCAAATGGGAATCTTGCTGTGTTCAGGTTCACTCAAGACTGAGGAATTCCGAAGTGGAAGAAAAAGCAACATTTTTATCATTGCTGGCATGGAGATTTCCATTAGGACAATAACTACTTGTCTTTTCTCTTTCTTCCCTCTCCAAGAGCTGATGCATCATAGCAGCTACAGATATGGGAGGAATCAGAAAGTCCTGTGCAATTTTCTTAGATCCTTCAGGGTTACCATGTCCAAAAAACTATTACGTGAATCCTGTGAGAGAAGTTTCCTGGACTGTATTAAAAG